GAGGAGAAACAAAGGCAAAATAAAGTGGAGACTTGTTCAAAAAATACAAAGTAAACAAGGAGTCCATTATTAATCTATAAGGATTTTGGATTTTAGGGTCTTACTTTTTTTTTTTCTACACTATATATTTTGGATTAGCTCTCATCATCACGAGTGGTTGATCTTCTTCTTCTCATTAGAATTGAATGTTTAGCTAATTTTAAATTATTTAATAGTCTTATAAATTAATTATATATAGTTAATAATTAAAAATATTTCAAATATTCAATAATTACGAATATATATAGAATAATAAAGTAATTGTATCAGGCAAAAGATAGAGTTAGAAAGGTTGCATACTTAGTTTCTATACAGGTTCATCCCAAATTGAACTATATATAGTTCTCACACACTTTGTGAGATTTTCTACTAATACAATAATTGTTGTTCAGGTTACAACACCAACCATGCGCTAATACAAGTTCCACACTACACAATCACCTACTCTTAATGTTTTTCACTTAGCGACATGTTGATATTTCTCCCTTAACAACCCATTGAGATACCCACACTCATAACCACTTGCTATCAATGTTTTACACTTAGTCACTTGTTGAAATTTTTTTCTTTAATAACTTGTTGAGATACTAATAAGTGTTAATTTTATCTAAATGAACTAATTTCTTTAACACTTATTTATTTAGTTTTAAAAGAAATACGTGTTTACCCCTAAATTGTTACAAAATTCAAAAAGTTGTGTAAATTAGTTAGTTTATAAATAGTTGATGGAGATTTCGCTTAAACTCTTGTTTCATGTCTAGCATGATTCAATAAATATCAAAAGTCTCAGAAAAATTCCAATTTTCTTAGGTGTTTGGGAAATGGTTAAGCCTTTTTGAAAGGACTGAGTTGCTTGCAAAGGATTGAATCGTTTCAAAATGGTTGAGCCCTTTGGAGACAAAATGGGAAGTAGAGGGTTAACCATTCAACCATTTGGAAAGGACTAAGCGGATTGACACTAGAGGGGTGCAAAATTTTGATTTTATAAGGGTTGAGTAGATTACTAAGTGCTCAGCTAATAGAGTTCCTTCACCATGAAAAATTCTCCAAACTGCTAAAGCGTTTGGAAAAAAGTTGTACAATTTATTTTCTCTCCTCCATACTTATATTTTATTTATTGTACATATATAAGGACTTAGGAGGAGAAACAAAGGCAAAATAAAGTGGAGACTTGTTCAAAAAATACAAAGTAAACAAGGAGTCCATTATTAATCTATAAGGATTTTGGATTTTAGGGTCTTACTTTTTTTTTTTCTACACTATATATTTTGGATTAGCTCTCATCATCACGAGTGGTTGATCTTCTTCTTCTCATTAGAATTGAATGTAAATCATCAAACTCTCATGTACTTCTTTTGATATATATATATATATATATAT